CCATATCTCTGAGTTTTGAGTGGGCGCATGTCGCCAGCGTGCTGCGTTACTGTTTACATGTGTGAAAAGTGTGTTTGAAAACGAGTCTGATTGCAGTTTCACAGATCGCCATATACCACATTTCTACTCGTGGGTTGGGGAGAGATCGCGGTTGGGTGGTGGTCCCCACACGAATCTCCAGTAATATACATACAGATGATAGAGTAGCCAGAGGATGAGATAGATGAGGAGACTGTATATGAAAAGCGATTGAGAGAAGAATATCGATTACTTTTTTGAAAAAAAAAAAAAAAAAAAAACGATTAGTTTTTGAGAAAAGAAAAAAAGGAAAGCACATCACCACGAACAACCTACCGTAGTTTACATCTGGGTGGGTGCGAACGTGCATCCGACTCTCGAAAATAGAGAGACTCGAAGATAGAGGTCTAGAGGGGTCTCTCTATTTTCGAGTTGGAGAGCATGCAGGCTGAAAGCTCTCGATCCAATTTGGATTCGATGGTAAACAGCTCTCGGTCGATTCTTTTTCTTGAGTTTACCATCGAGAGCTTGTTCGATGGTAAACAGCTCTCGGTCGATTCTTTTTCTTGAGTTTACCATCGAGAGCTTGTGGTGGGGCGGCGCGTCGCACTCTAGAAGAACAGAAAATCGAGAGTCACTGTGGTGTAGCGAAGCCCCTAAGCTTATCATTGGGCCTCGCCACATCACTGTCCAATCGAGAGAAGGACGGACTGCACCCTCCTCAGAACGCAGCAAAATGCATCCGTTACTTCACTATTCATAGTAACGGATCCATTCTGCCACTCTTTGCGGTACCATGCACTCGTCGCACTTTTTCCCTTCCGAGTCCGAGTCCCGACGGTGGTGTGGCGAGGCCCGTTCACAACAGCTTGCCGCAGAGGACGATATATAATGAGGATGAGGATGTGACACTGTCTGGACTCTGGATTGGATGCTCTCCCTGTGTCGCGTCTCGTTTGGAAGAACCGAATCAAGTGAAGTCTGAGCTGCATCTTGACTCAGGTGAGTCGTGCTGACGAACATTCGACTCAGCTTGTCTTTGATTGATGTGTTATCTTGTGGTCGGTGCTTGTCTTTAATTGATGTGTTATCTACCTTCTTCCCCCGAATACAACGTACGGTCAGTATGTCTGTATGTATACAGAAAGATGCCTTAAATTCAGCTATAATGACCGTACGTTCTATTCGGGGGAAGAAGTTCGTGGTCGGTGCCGCGGTGTTGAACCTTCTCTCCTCCTTGTTCTTGCCTGCAACCTGCACAACTTGCGGCTACGGGACACGAAACGAAAGACGAAACGACATCATCTTCCTACAGAAAATGGCCAGGTTCATCGGTTTGCTATAAATAGTGACGAGTGTATTTTGCCACCTTTCATAGGCAGATGCACTCGTTTCGTTTTTGTTTCGTGTGCCGTACGGCGAGACCCTTGGCCATCCCGTCTGCACCGAACGTTTCGAGGGCACGCCTTCCTAGTGAGTGTTCGGTCGGTTTTTCAGGCTTGTTCCTAACGTCGAGTGTTGGGTCGGTCTTTCAAGTTTTGGCTTACTTTCCGTTCATATTCACAACACGCGTGGCATGTGTATCGTAGCTCTGACACACTGCCGTATCCGTCGGCAAGGCTGCTCTTGTCGGTGGTGCCTTCTTTCCATAGTACCCCTGTTGCTTCCGGTAGCCCGTTCTTTCCATGCTTCAGGAGGTACTCACACTACCGGTAGCACTATCTTCAATGTATAGTACCGTATTTTCGGCCCTAACTGTCTGCACTTGGCTGCGATTCCGTCCAGAAACGAGTGAAAAAGTGCTACTGTGAGGATGCCCATTGCTTTTCCCCAAGCCCCTCGCCTGCCGACGATAAACAGATGGGCGCGGGCAGGTGTACACTTCTCGTGCAAGCAATAAAAATCGACGAGCTGTGCACGCAGCAGTGCAACTCTGCAAGAGAATTAAAAGCTCGAGAGGAAGAAAGGCAGGACGAAGGAAGGCGAAGAAAGAGTTTCAGAAAGTCAGCGGAAAGCGAAGGAAGGGGGTGCGCTGCTTCTTCCTCGGTTGTTGTTCAAATGCCCTCTTGGCTTGTAAATGTGTGATGGTAATTTAGCGCTCAGTACTCACCTGCCTCAGTTACGGGTTCCGCTTTTTTTTTTTTTTTTTTTTTTTTTGTCATCTTTCAGTGCTTTTGCTTCAAAGCGTTATAAAAAAATAGGAGAAAAAATGCCAATCGGTGTACCAAAAGTGCCTTTTCGACTTCCNTCAAAGCGTTATAAAAAAATAGGAGAAAAAATGCCAATCGGTGTACCAAAAGTGCCTTTTCGACTTCCAGGAGAGGAGGATGCAGTTTGGGTAGAGAAAAAAAAAAAAAAATCATTTTCTGAGGTGTTGCCTGTTCAACGACACAATGAAGGCAAATTTCTTCTGAGGAGCGCCGATCACAGTACAACGGTGGGATCAAGCTTTTTTTTTTTTTTTTTTTGAGAAGACTTCCCCGGCTAATGCTAGGGGTGCTGAGAAGAACACGCACCACTAGCACTCCCAAGGAGCCTCCATCTATTGGTGGGGAGCAGCACCTGCTGGAAAACGGGTCCAGCGTCCCAGAACATCATAACAATTGTACCAATTGAAAGACATTTGAAGGCAAGGTATGATTTTGGCTGCCAGCATTGACTTCCCCAGTGAGCCTGGGGGGTTAACTGCACAGCTTTTTTTCAGAAAATCTGCCTCTTCAAACTCTGGGGCAATGCCAGATCCTACATTCAGGCCACTAGCAGCACCCAGCAGCACCCAGCACCCTTCCTGTTCTCTCATTCCTAGCCCCCTCCGTACCATGACGATCCTACTATAGAAAGATCCGAGGGAGGGAAGGGATCGGCGAAATCTGAGAGGGGCCTCAGGGAGGGGACAGATGGGTCTGAGCGAATCCAATCGTGAAAGGAGAGGGTATACTCTCTAACCAGCGTTTCCTGCTCCTCCCCACTACCCAGTTCCTCCCCCTTCCCCCCCTTCCAGACCACTGTCTCCATTCTGCCCCCTTGTTCCCCCCCTCAGCCAGACTGTGCTGAAATTACGGATAGATGTTTGGATCTCTTTTTTGGAGTTGAGGAATGTCAGCTTTTGTTTTATCAGATCCCATTGTATTGTTAACTCTGTCAGAGTCTGTCTGAATATGTTCCCTAATCGAATCAATAAACTCCGGACCATCCTGACGACTACCTTCCATTTCCATTGTACAGCGACGCCACCCTTCGATTTCCATTGTGCAGCGACGTCACCATATGGCCCGCAACACTGCTCTCCTCAGTTACGGATTCGTCTAAAAGAAAATATGAGAAAGACAAGCCATGATAACTGTGCGCGGCTTTTTCCTCGGTTTCTCAGATGCGCTCTTAGATTCTATTACATCAACAACGCTAATCTGCCACAACCAGGGATGCCTGTTGCCTGTGCAAACATGTTGTCGCCGTCGAGGCCGATGCAGTCATTGCAGTGTGCTTGGGCGGAGGTCAGTGTTTCCACAATTGGGCAGAGTTGTGGAACAGAACAAATGACTGGTGTAGCTTCTACGTACTGACAGTTAGTTCATCTGTACCATTCAGCCACATGGGGGTTGGGTCTGAACTCTTTCCATCGAAATCTTGCGACTGTTCGTCCAGATATGCGCGGCATTTCCTGATTGGGTGCAAGTAGTAGCTTCAGAAGGCCAGAAGCTGCAGGTTAGGTTCTCTTCTTTCTTCCTGTGACATTGTCTCTTTCTTGCTGGACTGTCTCTAGCAACGCAGGGTCTCGCTCCACTACAGTAGCTCTCCAGTCTACAATTCTGTCGAGTTTTTAATCTCTCCACAAACTCCACACGCCAAATGATGAAGACCTCTTGCAATGTATGCCCGTCAGAGAGGCCGTCATAAATGCGCTCCTAGCATGATTGTATAGTTCCCTGCCTGCAAAATGCATTTCTTGATGCCCGTTGGTGAGTGCTCTGTCAAGCTCACCGTTTGTGACCGGATTTGTAGAGTCCAACTCGAGTCTGGGCGGACGAAATGCTGATGGAGCCGTGGTTTTCGGTGCGGTCACCAGGTCACCATGTTTTCTAGCGCAGTCACGGATTGGAGAGCCCTTGGACAGATGGAAAGTGGAGAGTAAGTGGAGCTATGGCGGGTGGATTCTACCTCTTTGTATAGTCTGACAACCATACAAGCACTCTACAAAAAACTGTCCAGTGGAGAGTAGTGGAGCGAGACCTCACCGTAAGTGCCTTTGCTGGGGGCCTGGTCCCACTAGCCGGGGGGGTAGTTTAGTCGTGCAATAGCCGAGACAGGCAACAAAGTTAAAGAGCTCTTATGTGGCAAATAGATTAGCAGAATGCCCAGCAAGATCTGCGATATCAATTTTGCATGGAGAGAGAAAAAGTAAAGAGGGAGATGACGGTTGCATCTAGGGCCATGATCCTAGCTCAACTGCTATATCAATTTTGCTTTGTCTGCTAGACACAAGCGCCAGGCCTTGTTTCTCGCTACTGCTTTGTCGGCTAGACACCAAGACGGCGGATGTTTGGGCAGAAAAAGGTTGTGTGGGCGTCGACAGTGTTCTAGGCGTTGTGTGGGCATTGACAGTGTTCTAGGCGTCTTTACGTACGCGATGTATGCGGCGTACGCAGACGTACATCGCGTACCGCGCACCCCTCTGCGTTGTGCACACGCGTGCAGTGCAGTTTTTCCCAAAAAAAAGGTTTTTTTTTTTTGCCATGGTGTGTGCAGGGGGGGTCAGACGACCACATCAGGCGCATACCCCTGAACACGCGGGGAGTGTACAATGCCCCTTTTACCCCCCTATACCCCTTCTACGGTTTATCAGACCATTGACGTGGCGTCTACGTGACACCCGCGGCCTAGGGCGCGGGCAATCCGGCCGCCGCGGCCAGCGAGGCCCTGTCCGCGGCCTGTTTTTTAATATATTTTTTATACCCCTAAAAATATGTAAAAAAAAATGGATACATATATATCGTCACAAATAGAACTGCCCGGTAAACCGTAGGCAGAGAGAGAGAAGAGGACATGGGGTTGCAGGGTTTGCAAAACCCTACAATCCTATATTTTTTATTTTGGAATTCGACCTCGTTTAAGATTTTTTAAAAATTAAAAACTAAAATTGATTTAAACAAATTGTTAAAAAAAATAAAAATTATTAAAAAAATAAAAAGAAAAGCAGGAATTTTTTTTTGTCATTTTTTTTTATGAGGGACATGGTCGATAACTTGTCCTGTATTTTTTTAGAAATGTTTTTTGGGTTTGTTTCAGAAAATTGGGTGTTACAAAAAAAAGAAGATGCAAAAATTGAAAACAAATAAAGGAAAAAAGGGGTCACACTGGGGTTGGTATGTGTGTGTGTGTGTGTGCGTGTGTGTGTGTGTGTATGTGTGTGTGT